GGAAACATATGCTAATTCCACTCACTAAAGTTTACAACTGCTTCACTGTGTATTGTTTTGGTTGGCTTTCAGTGTTTATTCTTATTCGGCATGGCAAGCCAAGGTCCCTAAAAAGCTAAAGGGCATCCAGCACTAAAAAGCAGAAAAAGAAGCCAATACACAAGTTAAAACAGTTTATTAAGATATTCTGATGCCAACACCAGTTCTATTGGTTTCCAAGTAGATAAGACATTTTGTCGTACATATTCTTAATTTTCTGCTTTCAAACTCTCACATTTTAATGCGTCATCTTGTATGTAAATCACTTTGAATTGTCCTGTGTGTGAAATGTGCCACACAAATTAACGCTGGCTGATAAATAACCTGACAAATGCCTTATTACCAGAGTTTGGGGACTGGACTGGATTAAATCCATGCAGGCAGAGGGGAAAAATCTGTAAAAAACCACTTTGGGGCTTCTAAAATACTTATTTAATCAACTTTAGCACATTTACACTTTATAAGAAAACATTTATGCAATCATATCAAGATGCTTTTTCATTCCAGTACGACTTTTTACATGGCGCCAAATCACAACAACATAATCTGAGACATGATTTGATCTTATTAGTCTTTGTAAACTGTGAACCAGAGTTGCAAGTTACATCAGACTGTTGTGATTGTGGCTGAGCTTATAAACCTACCTTTGAATTCAGAGTAAAGCCTTTAATTCAGAGCTTTTAGTTTAAATTAATTCTATCTTATTTTATGCCATTTGTCTATATTATATTCTAACCTTAGTTCAGCCTATTTATATTTCATCTTATGTTCCACTCTTCTTTCTAGTGTCTTATTTATTTTTGTAGATGACATTTATCTGAGCTGAATAGAAGTGAACTGTTTGCTTAGTGGACGGCCAGGAAAGTGTGTGTTACGGTCCAGAGTTTTAGTATATTTTGTTTGAGAAATTAACTGTATCTATGAGAACTTTTATAGTAATAAATGCTATTTGAAAAACAAACCTAAAAGGACTACAGAAATAAAGTTTTCTTTTTGTTTTGTCATTTAAAATCACAGAAATCCACCAAAACTATTTTAAAAACATCTTAAGAAAATGCTTTTCTTTGACAAATTAGCCTTAAACTAAGCTGATGCTCCCTTTTTAAACGTATTCAAACGTGCTCTTAAAATGTTTCTACAGGGAACTCCTCCTGAATAACTCGGGTTCAATTCAAATGCCTTTTTTTTATAAAATATTCATGCTTTTAAGTAACATTTGGTTTGAAATGAACCACCCATAAAAACTAGGTATGCATCAGATCTCTGACCTGACCACATATTGGAGCCCGCTTTCTACTGGGAGGGGAATCTATTTTGGATTAAAGGGCAGTTTGATAAGGGAATGGCTCACACATGTGCAGCCACTCAGATAAAAACGCTCCCTCGGTTCTGGTTTAAAAGCACAGACATGAAGTCCAGTGCAGCTCTGAGCCTGGAGAAGAAGCCACCAAATCCCAGTTTAGATCCAAAGTATTAACCCTCCTACAGTTTCTAACAACCCTGTGTGAACTCGTGACTATCCTCCTCCATCACAGGAAATGTTTCAGTAGTTCTGACTAACAGAAGAGAGCCGTCTGCTATCAGCCTCCTGAACCATGTGCTTTTGGAAAACTCACACTGGAGTTAATCTCTATGAGTCCAGTTGTTCCAGAGGGATCTTTGAGCCCGTTGGAATGTCAGGAATGTAAAAAGGTGGCAGGTCTGGGGTCATGTGACTCTGTCAGACTGTCCGTGAACGTCAGGTCTCCTGTCAAACGGCTCAGGAGTTGTCCCAAAACGTCCCGGTTTGGGCTCCTGCTGCTCTAGAAATCCTTCCTCTGTTCTCCCAAAGAGCCTCCACACATCTACAGTACGCTGCAGGATTACCTAGAAATGAACAGAAATCCAGGTTTACTCAGTAAAAGATCCTGGATTTACAGTCTGACCTTAAGGTTCTGTGATATATAGATAGATAGATAGATAGATAGATAGATAGATAGATAGATAGATA